AAATGCAACAACATATGCTCATATGCACTGATTGTATTATTGGCATGCAAATGTATAGTTATGTCTTTTGAGCACTAGATGGCGATGTGGTTCAATGCTGGTCTATGCTAGTTTTTGTGTGCATGTGTGTCTATGATATACATAAAGGAAGTTCTCTGTATGCTGTAAATGCTGTATTCTGATGTAAATGGTCTTCTAAGCAAGTAAAACTTAATTCAGCATTCTCAAGCAATCTCCGTGCTTCATCTAAACACAAACCAACATTATTACAATAGTAAAACTACACCAAGTACACACAGAGTTACTGTTGGAAGCACCATGCTGGCTGTTTTTATATGCAGATTCCAGCATATGACATCCTGGAGAGGAGAAGAAATAGCTGCACATTACTTGAGCTGCAGAGAGTCTTGTGATTCATCCCAGCAGCCCTAGGCATGTTTGTACCTGACCTTGATCATGGTTCAGTACCTTCCTTCATGCATGATGCTGTCTGTTATCCTATTGAGCACCTCTGCACAGGCTCAGGATGGCACATTGGCATCTTGTTGACATGCATTCCTTAATCTGATTTGGCTAGTGCCAGAAGGGGCAGACAAATCAAGTGTCTGTGGCTAAACAGAAGCGAGACATTAGACAGATCGCCTGTATGTGCCATAAACAGTTCCTTGTTTCTTACAGAGGCAAACAAGGTAAACACAGCTGCCTTGGTGATGTGCTGACAACAAAGCGTGGCCATAACCTAGGCTGTCAACGTACGGAGGTGCTGGGAAAGCGCCGATAAAATGCTCAGAGCCCTGGAATTTTTTCCTTGACCTGCCTTTCAGAACAGCAGACTATTCTCTGCATCACTTTGCAGTATCAACCTTTTGTTGTTGCTCGACAAATTCGATTTTTCTCATTGAAAACCTGGAGTTCCAAACAAAAAACTTGACACATTTTTTTTTAGTTACCTTCATTAAAAATGGTACAAGGATCAGTGAGGCCATTCAAAAATGACTTTCTCTGGTCTGGATCTTCTGGGTCAGCTAAATCGACTGCACAAAGCGGTCTGTGGCATAGGTTTTTTTTGTGCATCTACGGATTCCTGTGGCAAGAACTGGTGTATCCTAGTGACAAAAATCCCAGGTGTGTCCGTACAGATACAGCCGCTGTGCCCATTCACATGATTGACCAGGTGACAGCAACTGCATCTGTCCATGGCTGTCCGCATGTAATTGTACATGAAACCATTACCTACGGATCATGATATACAGTGTGCTTGTCCCTGGATGCAGACAGATTGCGCCCAGAACAAGCATTTATCCCGATCCACAAGTTATTGTACCATACAGAATTACATGCAGTCAGCCTGTAATAGACTTGAATGGGCACAGCGGCCTCATCTGTATGGATGCACCTGGGATTCCTGCCAGGAGAATCCACAGGTTCATGCCGCAGAAATCCCCAGGTCCACATAAAACCCCCATGTGAATGAAGCCTTAGGGTGTCTTCTCATGAAGGACCTGGTTGCATGTAGTATGGGTGAGGAGAGGGGAACTGACGCTTCCTGTTAAAGTCTTCGAAGCCATGCAAGGGCTATTATGCACCCTATAAAGCAGCAAATGTTTCCAGATACCCAACTGTGTATGACCGTTTATCTCAAGTACATCATAAAGGGTGAGCGTCTGCTGCCAGTGACTCTTAAATGTGTGTAATGTTGGCCGTTCATTGGCAGATGGGGTTGCCTGGCATGTCTTCTTTACTGCAGGGAGCCCAGGCATTTACAGACATGTTCATCCACTGTGATGGATATGGGCATTTGCAGAGGTTGTTGATGACCCATACTGTGTGGTAGATGGTCGTAATGGAGCTGTATACAGTCACCAGTGCAGCCATCATATGACTGCACCGCACACCTTAGCCATTCAAAATGTCTTGTGTTTATTGGCTTTCACAATTGGCAGGTCCCTTTAGTAGTATATGGGTCCGTTATTCGCAGAAAACCTCTAAAATGGCCTTTCTTGGTGGATACAGAGCATGTGTACGCACCACTATAATAGGCCGGTCCATGTTGTGAAAGCAACAGGATCTTCTAAAGCAGAACTCTAGCTTCAATTTTTTATCAATAAAATTGTCTGACAGATTTTAAAATAGAAAATGCAGCTCTCACTACAATACTTGCAGTTTGTCCAGCACTGTCCCACACAGATTCCCGCATCTAGCTGTTGTCCCTTTTGGGTAAAAAGAGGTGGGCCATCTTTAAACTCCACACTTTCTGTCATTGGCAGCTTGTGTCATCACATCACCTTCCCTTCGCTCCCTCCTCACTCTGACTGATAAGAGGAGTGTGCTGGTTCTCTGAGACTGGTGGTTTAGGCACCCAGCACCATCACATGGGTGTAAGAACAGAGTTATCAACCCTTAGTAAGCTTGTCTCGCAGCTTACAGAGTTATTCTTCTCTCTTCTTCCTGAGGTTGAACGTAGCAGTGAGGGAAGGCATGATTCTGCAGAGGGCAGTAATGGTTATTCAGAACTGAATAAAAAAAGGTGTAAAAAGTATGAGATACTCTGAACTCATTTTTCTTTTCTCCCAAAATGTTGATGACATCACTTTCTCTAGGTTAAGGAATAAGCGATGTTATCAGACCGTTTTTTCTTTTTTCAGAATTTGTTACAAATAAAGGTAGCAACATTTATTAAATTAGTGCGCAGAGCTGTTGGCTAAGCCAACCATCACTTTCCTGAGGATGAATGAAATGAAATTGGATCTATGGCGGCTGTGAACACCACTGCTATTTTGCTCCAACTTTTGTAAATCCATGTTTTCCCATTTTTGACAAGTCACGTGTAGTAATAATAGTGCTTGGTATATTTAGCTTGGCACAGCCAGTTCTCTGTAAGACTGTGGTAATCTAATTATTGGGGCCTGGGAATGGCATGACACAGAGTCGATGTAGGAATTTGCGATTCTCTAGTGGTGTCACAAGGTGACCAGTTGTATATCTATAAAGTGGAAAAATATCTAAACTTGAAATTTCTGACTTCTGTGAGACTTGCACAGTCTGTAGACCTAAGATGACAATTGCCTGTGGATCGTTTCTGGTTGGACTGTACAATAATCTTGTGTATAAGGCGGACATCATGTACGCACCCATTGGCTGACTGACAGTAGCCAGGTCCTCTCACCTAATGGCAAAGAGACAATCGGTTGGAGGTGTTGGGGCCTATGTCAATGGACTTGGGTTAGTTTCATTGGCATAAGTTCGACATTAGTTTGAGATGCTTCTGATATCATTCAGAATGCAATTACCTCCTTCTGACCTGCATTTTACCTGCCTCAAGCAGGGTATGCATCCCCATAGACTTGTATGGGAATGCAAAACCTGCTTAAAGTGAACAAAAGTCCATCAACACAGTTCCTTAGAGAGTTTAATGTACCTGTTTGTGGACCCAAAAGCCGAGTGCACCGTCGGAGTGCTGTTAGATCCTGCCATAACTGCTTCTTTATATTAATAGGTGCCTTAAAGGAAGCCTGTGCTGAGGGAAATATAGACCTCTTTCTGATATTAATTGCCTGGCTCTCTTGTCTGCAAATTTTTTGTGATTAACTGATCCAGAACAAGCATGGAAACTAGAAAGTAATTTTGAAGTCTTCATCTGCATACCTGTTTCAGGTGGTTGACCTGGAACGTATTGAAGCCATTGAACCAACATGGCTGCCAGACACCTAGCATTTTTTAGAAATATGTCAGCAATGGCATCCCACATATTCGTAGAGTACAGGTTTCTTTTAAAGCTGCCCATAGCAGTCAGAGGACTGCCAAATTTGAAGGTGTGATCTGACCATCTAAAGTGTTCTTTATGTCCAGCTTCAGATGCATGTTCTCTTAGAGCATAGGTGTTCCCATCTTGCCACTATATGCAGCAGATCACTATCCGAAAATTGTTATATTTAACATATATTGTAAAAAATGAGGGCTGTATTCCTCATTGTAGGATACTGGGAACGGCCATGCAAATTATACCTTGTTGCCCCTGGGCCCACTGTGCATCCACAACAGTTGGTTAGCACAGATACAGCCTGATATTATACAGTAATTTACAAGCTTTATGCTGCTGTAGCAGTTTCAGGCTTGTTGGTTTCCATCAGTGCAGTGTATGGAATCCATAGATTTTATGGAGTAGGGCTTGAGAAATGAGACTGAATAACTCGATGCATGTACCTTCTTTTTTAAAAGGTCTCTACTGTCCGACACAGTTATTGTAGATCGTTTTGTGGCTCTATTAAGATCGCAACCTATCAGAAGAAAATGCAACTAGAATAAGTCTGAGCTGCCAATATTTTAAAATAGTTTCAAGTGGGGTGAAGTTAATCTTGTTTATTTTAGCAATATGGGAGATGGCCTGATGGTACCACAGACCCAGAAGTTGTTCTTCTTGTTAAGTCTCTCCTGAACTGATTTATGTTTGTAAAACGTTAGATCTTACTAAACAATTTCGGTTTTCAGAAAAGGAAACTTAAATCTCACATTAGAAAAAGATGGCATTCATTGTGTGTGTATCCAATGCTGGAATCCAGGAACATTTCCAGGTGCAAACATTTCCAGAAGAAATTCTTCACAACCAGCGACTGCCCCTGAAAATTGAGGACCATTGTCCACCATGTGCAGGTGCCATACTCGATGGGCCCTGGGAATACCACAGGACGTAACTTTATCCCCAAAGGCCTATCCTTACAATTTGGCCTATAAGTGTGGTGTCATGGCTTCTCATGGGCCTACACCCTAAAATCTTCATGTTCCCATGCCTCCTTCACAGTGCCAAGCCCAGCTTCCAGTTTCCCAGCCTCCAGCAAGCAGCAGTCTATGCAGTAATTGAAAAGTAACGGCAACAGCACAGGGCTGGGGTCCAACTAATTTTACTTTTTTTTTTTCCTTCTCTCTCTCCTCCTTCCCAGTCTGCGTTCATTGCATCAGGCTCGGCTGGGCTCCCGCTGTACTCATGTGTGTTAATGCTGACTCACAGACCAACTTGCACAAGACAGAGAAAACACACACACACAGACGCTTCCTCCATACTAGGTAATGAGGCGAGCCAAGGCACCGTGCTGATGTCTCATGTAAGGTCCTCTCTGGATTTTCCATTCCTTTTTACGGGGAGGGGGGCTTCAGGTACTGTAATGGGGGATGTCGTAACCCCCTGCTGGCATTCTGCATTAACTGAGATCAATTCCATCCGTGATCACTCTGCTTTTTTCATTGCAGTTTTGTGTAGTGCGGAGATTGTTGCCGTCTGATCAAGCAGTGTCTGTTTCCATGCAGAATTAACCCTTCTCTAGCTGGGCTAGACAGTTAACCCTTTGCTGTGACCTTGCTGTCTGTATGCAGACTAAGCAGCTAGTGTCTGGAATGGATTGTTATTTTGTTATCGGTGTAAGAAAGTATTGGCTCATATTAACCCTAACGTTGCCTGTGGCGATGCTTGCGGAGGGACGGTTAGCGTTTCTACATCTTGAGCACAATATTGAGACTGGCTGTCTGCAGCTGGGTTTTGGTGTCAGTCAGGTGCAGCCCACGTTGTCTGCGTTTTTGTTGTCTCAGCTGATGCCAGGGTAGGTGACCGTGTCAGTTCAGGCTTTTGTGGAGTTGTGAGGTCAATGCAGCAGGATACTGCGCCTCTGCAGAAATGGACAAAGCTCAGCTGTCAATCAGAGCTCTTTATCAGCCGCGTTGATTGGCAGCTCTGCCTTTCAAGCTGTTCTGCGGCAGCTGAGAGCTTTTTTTGAAAGGGTTTTTCCTACCTCCAGACCTTTCTGCTTTTAAAAAAGGGATGAGTAGTGTGTCTGATTAATTCCCTCCTAGACAAGAACTGCAAGACGGGGCTGTTCTTGCTGATCCTGGCACATTTTTGGAGTTTGGCGAAAAACAGCACCCCCCTTCTATGATGAGGCTGGTGGTGAGAAGACGAGGGAAGTTGTTAAGATGACGAGACACGGCACTGACACTGTCTGTACTGAGAAACTCGCCTCCTAGCTTAGCACACCACGCAGTGTTGGGGAACCTGCTGCCAGTGAGGAACTACTGGGCCCATCATGCACTGAGCACTGTAGTTCAAATACAAAATAACAATGGCAGCTTATTTAATACAACAGCTGTAATGATGTGGCAATGCATGTTAGACCATAGCGCCCAATCAAATGTAAGCTTTTCTGATTTTTGTTCCCCGTTTTCTGTGAAATCAACGGCCAATCTATCTAAAACTGTTGTTTGAGTTGAGAGAAAATGCTGTTGCATGAAATTATTGGCTGACTTTGGATGTATCTCAGGAATTCCAGTGATGAGCCTTGCATGCTGCAATCTCTGGTTCTGCTTCCTTTCTTGTTTTGGCCATTACAAAACCAGCAAGATAGTCTCTCTCCCTCTGCTGCATACTATGCAATATAAAATGAGTCAACAAAATGTAACAAAAAGAGAAAGGTCCCCTCCTAATGGCAGGTGGATAGAGATGGGAATTTAGAGAGCAGAGTTTGTTTCCATTTTGCCCCCAAGAATTGACAAATAAAGGCGTACAGAAAGCCAAAATAGAGATTCTGCCAGAGATAGGTTTTGTTTGAAAATCTGCTGACGCTGTAGTCTATTATAACTGTTCTTTATATATGCATGTGAAATCATAATATTAATGTAAAAATATATGTACACTCAAAAATATTGGCACCCCTGCATTTCTGTCAGATAATGCACCACTTCGAGCAGAAAATTGTTACAATTACAAATGTTTAGGTATTCTCATGTTTATTTCTTTTGTTTTCTATTGGTATGACACAAAAAAGTGTAGGATAAAAAAGTTAAATCTGACACATGCCACACAAATCTCCAAAAATGGACAGGACAAAATTATTGGCACCTTCTCCAAATTGCAAGAAGTAATTGCATTCCACGTTTTTGTGGAAAAGCATGGACAATCTCAATGTTACAAGTCCATCTTAATGTTCCCGTGTCCACTGTGCACAACATTGTCAAGAGGTGTACAGCCCATGGCACTGTAGCTAATCTCCCCGGACGTGGACGAAAGAACAATTGATCAAGGAATGGCAAATAAGGATTGTTTGAATAGTGGATAAAGACCCTCGATCAACTTCCAGACAAATTCAAGCTGACCTTCAGGCGCAGGGTACAACTGTGTCAGCTCGCACTATACCATCTGAATGAAAAGGGATGCTATGGTAGGAGACCCAGGAGGACCCCACTGCTAACACAGAAACATAAAAAGGCCAGACTAGAGTTTGCCAAAACTTACCTGAGGAAGCCAAAATCCTTATGGGAGAATGTGCTGCGGACAGACAAAACAAAATTACAGCTTTTTGGTAAAGTCCCTCATTCTACTGTTTTCAGAAAAAGAAATGAGGCCTTTAAAGAAAAAATACAGTCCCTACCTCATGGTGGAGGTTCACTGATGTTTTGGGGTTGCTTTGCTGCTTCGGGCACAGGATGTCTTGACTGTGCATGGCAATATGAAATCTGATGACTACCAAAGAATTCTGGGGTGCCATGTGGGGCCCATTGTCAGAAAGTTGGGTCTCTGTCAGAGGTCATGGGTCTTACAGCAGGGCAATGACCCAAAGCAAACTGCAAAAAGCAACCAGAAATGGTTTCAGGCAAAGCACTGGAGAGTCCTGGACTGGTGAGCAATGAGTCCAGATCTGAACCCCATAAAGCACCTGTGGAGAGATCTCAAAACAGAAGTTGGGAAGAGGAACCCTTCCAATCTGAGAAACCTGGAGCAGTTGGCGAAAGAAGAGTGGTCCAAAATTCCTATAGAGAGGTGTAAGTAACTCCTTGATGGTTACAGGAAGCAATTTGATTTCAGTTTTTTTTCCCAAGGGCTGTGCTACCAAATATTAATTGAGGGTGCCAATAATTTTGTCCAGTCCAGTTTTGGAGTTTTGCGTGAAATGTGTCAGTTTGGCTTTTTTTTTTTCTCTCCACTTTTTTTTGTGTCATACCAATACAAACAAAATAAATAAACATGAAAATGCCGAAACATTTGTAATTGCAACAATTTTACTGACAGAAATGCAGGGGTGCCAATATTTTTGGCCATGACTGTATGTGCCAACGCTTTCTGTGTATAGAACGTAATATGTACAAGTGGCAGCCAGACTTACCCATTCCAGGACCGTATTTCTCCTTGGTAGTGCTGCACCATGGTTGTGCCTTGCTAATCCTCTTATCTCACTGCAAGTCTGACAGGCTGACTAATAACAATAGATTCTTTGCAGTCTCTGATGCCCACTCACAAGACTACTGATAGCCAAAGACCATGTGATCTAGGCTGACTAGGCTTTAAGTGAGCTTAGGAATTGTGCTTTCATTATTTGTGGCAAAAAATGTGATATTTGATTTCTCTGCGATGTGTCATACTGATTTATGGAGATCATTTAGGAGCCATCTCCCTCCTGCCATTACTGTCCCCTCTCACTGACCTCTGCCGCAACTACAAAAGGGAATCGCTTGGGACTTTGGGGGTACCAAAAAGTATATCAAAGAAATAACGGAGTTTAAAATCCATTCTTTTTTTTTACAAAAGACTAAAAAGCATGATGCCCACCACTAGCAATTATACTAAAACCTCCAAGCCTCAACCAGTCAACCTTCTATACCCTATAGAGTTCTATAATGTTCTAAGCGTCCCCCTTTCACCCATAGTATGGAAGCACAGTGGTTCCCCATCCATTGTAATAGATACAGTATTTAAGATTTAGGAGAGGACAGTAGTGTCACCTGCCAGTGCGTACTGGAGACCCATTTTTGTTGTGACTTAGCAAGAATGGCGAGAATCTGAAAACCTGGAGAGGTCACTTGAGCAGTGGCACGCTAGTATCAGACAGCGTCTGGTCACGTAACTGAATGCCTAGGCCTTCCTGCCAAAAGGAAAGATCCAAGTTTAGATTGGCTAATCCCATTAAGCACACAGGTACAAGCCTAGGCATTTTTAGTCACATGATCTGGACCCTGAAGTGGCACTTTCTCCAGTAAAGGCGTTTAACAAATCATTTGCTTTAAGCTGAATTCCAGGCGAGCAGCTAAAAACATAGTTGTAACACATATATGGGGATTGTTTACTGCCAGTAGATTTGCCAGTTTTATAATCCAAACAACCCTATTGGGCAACAAGAGCAGGATATGGACACTTTTAAAGAAAAACTCTGGGCAGTTGAAAAATGAACCAGCAGTGGGGCTTCCCCTGAAATGAAAGGGTTAAGAGCTTATTGTGGTCAAGGGTCTAAAATAAAAAAGATATACTCACCCAATCCTCAGTCCTGTGGCAGTGATGGCTCAGCTCTCTCCCCCCTACATTCTGGCTGTGGAATGTCCTTTAGCATCCTCACATCTACATCCTCAATCGACTTGTATTAAACGTGATGATGTCAGTAGTCCTTGGACTGCTGGAGCCCAGGGAGAAGAAGCTGCAGGGACTGGTCTAGCAGCCAGGTGGGACGGAGGATCAGGTGTGTGTGTGTGTGTGTATGTACATGTATATATGTGTGTATAGTAAAGTGCTGCACAAACTGTTGGCGCTATAAATCTTGTATAATAATAATAATTTTATATATATATCTATATTTATAGATATAGATATCTATATCTATAGATATCTATATATAAAAAATGTTGATCCTAGACAAAAACAAGCACATAAACCTTGCAGTGCAGGGCTAGCCCCATTGCAAGCGTTATTTTCTTCTTTAATTTGTGGTATTGACAGTGAAGGATCAGAAGCACCATAATGATTCATCACTCTGCTCTCACTTCCTATCAGCATGTGCATTGCTAGCACAGCCTGATTGGTTCCTGGAGCTCTCCCTCCTCCTCCCAGTCCTTCTCTTCTGCTGTGCAAGAGATTACAAGATTATAAAGACAGTTTTAGGTGCTGCATGATTAGCATTTAAAAACACAAGTAATGGTTATTAATGAGTATATAATTAACCTTCTCTTTTATGGGCTGGGTTGTGGGTGGCATCCTAATTGATTATAGTTTCACTACACACACTGATTGTTTTATAAAATTATTTAATAATTAAACATGACTGCCCTTTGTACAGAATAAACCTAGATTCCC